ATTCAAGGAAGCAAGGTGAAGGAGAAGCCTTCGGAGCTCTGGGAACAAGTGGGATCCAACTCATTGTCACAAACGGGAGAGGTTAGATGATCATAGGTCATTTGATTTGACTATTTCCAAATTAATAACAATAAAAAATTTATGAGGTTTTAAAATATGTGTTTGTAATAACAAGTCGAATCTTGTAAGATAAAAACAAGCCAAGTCAAAAGCAACCATATGAAACCCTCGAATTAGTTTAATTTAGATTTAATGAACTCGGACATATATCAATTCTATATATGCATGCTGGGTTAAGTTTTCGGACTTTATCAAAGAAAAAAATTCATTAACAAGTAAATTATATTTATGCGTGTAATATAATTTTGCATTATATATAAACAAATAATAAAAAAACATATGGTTATTTTTTGTAAGCTGGAAGCAGAAACTATTCAAACAAGGTTTACGAATAGAAAATAGATGTCCCAGAAAAAATAATCCGTTTAAAATTAACCAAGGAAATTATGGCAGTCAATAATAATGGTGCTTAAAAACTTATCAAATTCACAGAATTTGATAAAGAAAATAAGAATCATATTTATGAAAACTGCGTAAGTAGATACTATTGTATTTTTAGTCTAAAGTTAATGAAAGTGAAAATACGTACAAAATGAATTATGTGTGATTGATAAGAATATAAATGAAAAAACAAATTATGTGTGATTGATAAGAATATAAATGAAAAAACAATACATTATTTGAAGAGTTCAATGACTGTGCTTATCGTGTATAAATGAAAAACAATACATTATTTGAAGAGTTCTGAACCTAAAACAATTCACGGGAATAGTATCTCAAAAAGACAACAACTCATACGTGACGTGAATATGTTATTGGAGATTTTTAAATAATTTAACTGACAAATCAATATTTTATTTTGCTGTTGTTAAAGACCAAGCTCTTCATAGGTGCCGATTAATTTACCAGGAGACATTAACGTATGTCGGTATTCGGGATTTCACTTACAAATATTGATTTTTATTGGTTTTCTTAAGAGTTAATAAGTCAAAAAATAGCATTATGAAAAAACTTTTAAAATATATAACTTCTTATCAACCTTTCAAAAAAAAAAGATTTCAATAAATAAGGATTTCAATATTATCAAATTTTTTTATAGATTTTTGGATTGAAAAAGACAAATACCTTTTGAAACATATACAAATAATTCATTTTTTTTTTAAATACAAAACTGCAAAAATGGTCCATTTGGTATATATTTTTTGTGGATTTTCGTCCAATCTCCGATCTTTTTGGATTGGTGGTCATTTTGATTATTGTTTGTTTGTGATTTTGGTCCCTTAGAAAACTTAAAAGATTAAAAAGACTAAAATGTCCTTCTGATACATGTCTTATGTTTTGTCTATTTAGTTTAAAGTTTTATTAATTAGAAAATGTTGAGGACCTCTCTCTCTCTCTCTGGGTTTGTGTTTGATAAATACTCAAGGACATATTCATAGATTCACAAACACCCAAGAACATCGTCCACCACCACCACAGCCCGTCATCACCACCTTCTGTCAGCATCATCTCCACCTAAACTTTTCCTGCAACTTCATTTCATCCAAAAACAAAAGCTATAAACAAAATTTGGGTTTGTTCTAGGGTTCACCCCTAATCTGATGAATACACACACATGAAATCAAATCTAATGAAAACACACACACACACACGAAATCATATCAGATGAGTACATACATACACACACAAAATCAGATGAACACACACGCATACTAAATCTGATGAACACACACACACATGAAATCAGATCATCACTCCAGCCAAATCGCACCCCCTCATTTCTTGCAATAGATCGATTTCTCTTATTTATTCTCTCTTAAAATCGACGTCAAAACAACCGAAATCAAAATCATTGATACTTGCAGATATACGTTATAGATATGTAGGGTTGGATTTTCATACTTTGAACTCTTAAGAATAAACCCTGAAATCAAATAGGAAATCAAATATTTATATTCTTAAACTCTTTTTTCTCTCTTCAGATGAAACGTAGTTGTGTGTGTATATGAAATCGATTCTGAAAACTTCATATGTGTGTGTGTGTGAATTCGAATTTGAAAACCCAAACATGTATGGGTGTATGTGCATGTGAAGTTGATTCTAGAAAACAAACATATGGTTGTGTGTTTTAGGAACATGTTTATGTCAAGCTGTTGTTGGGTGGGTCTGAACTCTCTTTCTTCTCTTCAAAAATATCAAATTGAACAGGTAAGTTTGTGAACGAAGGGGTTGAATTGGGTTCATCTGATCTGGATACAATTTTCGGTGAAAGGGAAACAAGATGAAGAATACAACTTGATGATGGTGTTTGGTGGTAGATTCAATAGAAAGTGTGGCTGGTAATCAAGATGTGTTTGTGAGAGAGAGAGAGAGAGAGAGAGAAAGAGAGAGAGAGAGAGAGAGAGGGGGGGGGGGGAGAGAGAAAGATGATGTGTGTAGGCCCCCTTCTATTGTTTTAATTATTACAATATTAAAATAGATATTAAAAAAATGTCAAAATAAAAATAAAATGGTATAATAGTAATTTTAATTTTCAAAAGGACAATTTCCACATAGAAATATGGCGAAAAGAACCATGAAGCCTAAAAAAAGTCGATGTTATGATGAAAACCCAGAAAAATACTTACCACAAGGATCATTTTTGCAGTTTTGTCTTTAAAAAAACAACTTCTTGAGTTTGTTAGTTTTTAGGGTCTTAAGAATATCAATTTACTAGAATATTTCTAGGATCATGATTGCAATCACTTTCTAAAATCTGTTATTTCGACCCTATAGCTTGGGGTATCATGAAATCATATTTGGGGTAATCCAAACAATGGCAATTTAGAAATCAGGCCACTTCTAAATTTGAAACACATAAACATATCTTGTTGTTTTGTGTTCTTGAAGAGATAGATAAAATCAGAAGAATAATTTTCAAGAGTATTTATGTTCCAACTGAATTCTAGAACTTCAATCATCCTTAAATAGATAACGGAAAATTGGTTGAAAGTTGGTTGACGGAAGTTACACGCATTTGGTGCCAAAATGAGTTGGTTATTATGACATAACCAACTAATGGCATCATCATGTGCCACTAACAGGGGCTCTACCCCTTGACCCCGCAAGGGGTGCTGTCCTTAGAACATGCTTGGGGCACAGCCCCTTGGAACCCTATACCTAGGGGTTCTGGAGCCGAAACCCTCTATTCCCGAGTTCATATTTATCACTCCAAGTGTGTACCCTACACCTCCTCTATCGATTAGTAAATGGAGCTCAGATTATCTCAATATTAATAATAATAATAATAACTAAGTACTAAAATATGTTGATAACTCTAAAATCATCAACAAACTTTCTCCATCACAAAATTTAATCTAAACTCTTTTTTAAAAACTCATTTTCTCTCCACCATAAGTCGATAAGTCTTTTTGTCTAAAATGTCTTTTGAAATTCAAAATGAAATATCAAAGACCCTCATAGTTATGAGTACGTTATTAAATCATCATGAAAACTAAGGGGGTGTTTGGCTAAGCTTTTAAAAGGCAAAAGTCCTTTTAGAAAAAGTTGCAAAAAGTCAGGATTCTGTAACTTTTCCAAAAAGTTCATTTTTCCTTATATAAAAAAGTAACTTTTACAACACTACCAAACATCTTTTGTCTTTTTATCTTTTCCTAAAAGTTAAAAGATGTTTTAAAAGATAAAACAAACACCCATTAAATCATTGATAATAACTAAAACACCAAACTTATTTTGCTACGTATTTCCGTTTTTTTCTTTTTTGTCTTTTTGACTTTTTTCAAGATCTTTAACAAATTAAAAATATATTTATGATAATTCAAAAAAAAATCAATCACTAATACTAGTCTTTTGGATTACACTACTAGTTTTCTTGAGCTATTCGGTTGTAAAATATTAATTTGACTAAAATTTTAAAAAAATATTGGTTTTAAATAGACATACAAAATAACATATTAGTTATTTTTGAAGAAATAAAGATACATTAGGTCTTCTTTTAAGATTTTTCCAAAAGTATTGTAATTATACACACACAATTCAAAAGTAACTAAATTATGTTTTTCATACTCTGTATTTCAAAATCAAAGTCCTTTCCAAAAGCTAATCTTGGTGATCAATGTCACTTCTAATTATCTTAGGTATCTCCATACATGTCATTTAAAATAAAAAGAAATATGAAAGATTTTCTGTCTTATAAAATACATAAATAAGTTCTAGATACAAAAGCATTTATAATGAGTTTTCAAACATTTTCTAAAATCATTGGTCCAATGCAAGGAATTTGTAACTAATGCCAAAACAAATCATAGTTTGGAACTCATTGTTTTAGAGATACAAAACTTTGTGGAAATTGACGTTTCAAATACCATTATGTAATACCAATTAATTTGAAACAAATGATTCAAATATATAAGATCCAAACACTACTAGAAAAACAGCCTTTTACGACGCTTAATACGTGTCGTAAAACGCTCAGACGACACGCAAATGTGTGTCAAGAAAGGTCATGTCATAACGAGAGACGACGCGCTTTTACGCATCGTCTATTTACGACGCGCATTTATGACACGCATTTACGACGCACAGTTATGACACGCAATGCATATCAAGAAAGGCCCTGTCATAAAGGAACACGACTTGCATTTGCGTGTCATAACCTTATGACGCGCGTATTTATCACACGCAATGCATATCAAGAAAGCCCCTATCATATAAGAAGACGAGACGACACGTATTTTTGCGTGTCATAATTTTAAATCTTTTTAAAATTATATATTTTTGATAGATTTACTAATTTTCAAATTAAATAACACATTAAAAGTCTCATGATACAAAATAAAATACCATAAACAATAAAGATAATTCATTGTACTAATGTTTCAAATACAAATAATCATTCCAATAGTAAGTAAATGTAACACATTGCTAATATTGCATATGTATTATAGAAAACAAAACATGTAAAACATTAAAAGAAACCCATGACTTGAGAAGCAGTACGCACTCTTTTTGTTGGAATTAATTGAGACATTTAAACTGGTGGTAGGTCTTTTCCCACTCAAAATAGAGGGTTGAGTCCCACCAGCTTGCATGAACAACACATCACCTCCCATCTCATATGATCTTCCCCCATAAATTTTAAAGTTTTTCCTTCTTTTTTGAGCAGCTTGTGAAGATTTGTGACCTTCAAACCCTCCAGGCAGATAATATGTGTTTGCTTCTCCTTCGTCCTCTTCAAATGCATTTTCTTGAAATTCAAAGACTTAATAATTGCAACTTTAACTGATATATTAACAAGTTCTAAACAATTAATACTAAATCTTATAATACCTGCAACAAAATCATAGCCAGATGTATCCACTTCCTCTTTGATTTCTTATGTATGTTGTTATTTCTTTTAATACCTGCAACAACATCATAGGCATATAATATGTCTCCTGCTTGAGATGAACTCACAATCTGAAATGAATTTCATGTACAATATAGAAAACAAACAAAAGAAAACGTTAACTTATAATTTTTCCAAAAAATAAAAATAAAAATAAAAATTTACCTTTACTGGAACAAGTCCAGGTTGGAAGCCGATTCCCACAACTCTTTCTACTCTTCGAGTGTGTGGTCGTGTAACACAAACAAGAATGAATTCATATATGAGTAATTTAAGATGAAACGACAAACATACCCATTAGGTGTTCGGATGTCAAATAATCTCACATATCAATCCACAAAGCCAACTGCATATTGACCTCCATGAACTTGAGAAGCAACCTAAAAGAGCCAATACATACATATTCACACAAAAAATATATATATTAGAAACAATATCAAATAATATAAAACAATGGGGGTCAAGGTCAAAGTGAACCTACCAAAGTTGAAAAGCTGCAATCTGATGTTAGGGGAATAGAGGTCACAAGTTGCTCTTTATCCAGGTCCCAAACCATGGTTAATGAAATTTCACCAGAAGCAAACTGCATTAATAAGTAAAACATAAACACATGTTGTTATAAACAAATGAAAGCCTATAAAAAGCATCAAAGTGAATGAAAAGTAAGAGTAGTTGATACCATAAAGCCGGATTGTTGCTGCCAATCTAAGGCGGGGCAAGGACTCACTCTTGATCATTAGAAAAAAGAGAAATAGAAAACCTGGAGCATAGTGAAATTCAATACACCACATGTGTTAATAAAAAGGAATTGGAATTGGAATGGAATCTGTCAGAGGAATTGAAATTTGAGGGAATCGGGATCAAAAGGAAATGTGTTTGGTTGGTTGGATGGATGGAATGAAATTCAATGATTCGTAAGTTTTATTTTTTCTATATTTATTATTTCAATACATATAATGAGGATATTTTGGTCTTTTAATAAAAAAAGAAAGTATGGAACTGATTTCCATTAATTTAGCAAACAAACATGCCATGATGGAATGGAATCTGGAATTCCAGTTATATGAGTTTTAAGTGCTCTAAAAAACACACCTGACTCGTTAATTCAGTTATCTGGGGTCATTTTTCCAAGTTTTCTCCTGCATAACAAACATATCATAAAATCACTCATATATTATTCATTGTTATTTTAAGCATTTGGTAAATAAATCCACGGTCAAATATTCAATGGATTATATTATCCACTTCATTTTTTTTGTTATTTTTACTTTATTTCAACTTTATTCAGCTCTTCTACTTCATATGAATCTAGGAAAAACCTCCTGTTAACTAGAGGTTTCCAGCTTCGAGGCCTAAGCAAATTAGATATAACTTGCAATGCAAATACATCATATCATAAGTTTTCCCATACATACATACTAGCAACTAGCGGTTACACTTTTTTGTGAAAAGAAGTAGTTGTAAACTTACTTTTTTGTGCAGGCCTTGAGGTGACTTTTGCCTAGTGAAATTTTTGGTTGGATAGGAAAGGTCATTTTGGGTAGGAATCATTCGTCTACTCTCGTTTTCAAATTGATCCAAGAATAACTGCCTTACCAATCCACCAAGGTTTCCTACAGTCTCTTTAGGAACTACAACCTGCATCATATCATATTAATAAAAAACAAATAACACTTCTTTGTCATAAAAAATAACACATATGTATTTAAAAATAATATATAAAAAAGACATACAACTCTAGGGTGAAGCCTAACGTCTCCCTATGTATCAACATGCTCTGGAGCATGTGATTCGTCTAAAAGGGGTAAGTTGTTGTCTGAATTTGCAGCCTGTGATCGGGTGTGTGCCTGTGCAGCTTACCAAACAGGATTCACAGCCTTGGCTTCCTGAGCAGAAGCTTCCACCATCCTCTCCATAGATTCTCTACTAAACAAAATGTATTTTTATGAAATAAAGATATATCGCTAAATAAACATATTTAACTTCTTTGGAAAATATAAAATATGAATTTCAAATCAAATAGTCAAAAATAACACTTCACATTAGTTTTTTTTTTTCATTCCATCATGCACATGGAATGGAATTTTGTAACATACTAACATAACCATTTTTATTTATGTAACTTATAAAATGACATGTTTTTTCTGCAACTATCCTCCAAAACGGATGGATGTCTATTATATAAAAAATAGAAAAATAATTGTAATTTGTGAAGAGATTTAAGAATTATGGGTATAGTTTGCAGTTATATGTAAGTAGATAAGTTAAGATAACAGGACTAGAAGTCATCAATAGCAACCCACCTTTCAGTATTTGTTTTGCTTTGTGATAGGTTTACTTGATCATTTCAACAGAAAAAGATATAATATATCAGGAAAAGAGAAAAGTTAAAAAGTAGTCACCTGTCAAGATTTCTTTTGTCCAAGCCAAGAAAATGATGCACCGAAATCAAACACCTGCTACTTGAACATGAAATCTGAATGTCAAAAAAATATAACAGGAGTAGTAAAACAGATTTAACTGCCATGCCATGTAACTCATTGCATAACAAAAAAACATCACACTATATATATATATATATATATATATATATATATATATATATATATATATATATATATAAGATTAAAAGACCCACTCTTCTCTTGTCTAATTCTATGTATGCATCAAAACTCCAACTACTATCTATTAAATCTCACATTGCTACATTAAAACCAATATATTAGCATACATCATAGACCACTAACTGATGCCACCAACTTATAAGGAAAACATAGCAGCATAAATGTCCAATCTGCTAATTACCTAGACTTGGATACTCTCGACAGCAGATTCTTCACCAGCTGTGCCAGAGCCCATAACTTCCTCTTCTAATTCCTTGTCTTGCTCAGATCTGGCAACAAGTATAAATATATTCATAGTTATTATTGTCATTATAAAAAATATATTTATTACTACATAACACAACAAATTTATGTAGGCAACTTAAGAAACAAGTCACAAACCTTATTTTCCGAGTAGGCTTTGCAGCCCCTGTGACATTGACAAGCTCAGGCTCCAACTCCAACCCCCATAATAAGAAAAAACTGAAGAGGGATACCAATGTAAACAAAAAATCCATGAAAATATGTTGCTATTTCATGCACTTAACCTAAGCAGAAAGGAGAAATTAGTCAAATTACATACAGCATATTCGAGTTCAAGAAAGAATGCCACTACAACGCTTTTTCATATATCAATGTCTTGATTACATTAACTTAGGTTTTTTTGGCTTAACCCAATAAGGGGCAGCTAAATCTACAGCTATACGATTATCTTCATCATCTTATCCTTATCTACTAAACTAAACTTTCTAAATTTAACTCTATCTAGGTTATGTTGATGATTTGTGTTTTGCAGCAACTGACAAGACAATTAGGGGATCAGAACAATGTAAGTGATCCTGTGACACGGTTAAGGATGCAGTCAAATGCTTTGAGGTCAGGTGCTCTATTGCAGAATTTGGGTGCTTTTCTGTTGGAGCTTGGACGAACGACCATGACACTACGATTGGGACAGTTACCTGTGGGTTTTCATAACTTTTAACTATGTTTCCAAGTTTCTTATATTAATTAATTAAAAACAAAAACCAATATATATATATATATATATATATATATATATATATATATATATATATATATATATATATATATTACCTTGTTGTTGTGGAGTGATGGAGTTCAGAAGCCCAACCCCCAACACCATTTTGTCGTTCAAAGGATAAAGCCCAAGCATTCGGGTCCCCATCATGTTGTTGGGAAAATTCAGTTAACAGACCTTTACGGAACAGCTCCTGGACTTCCCACAAAGGATCAGGATGCCCAACATAAGGATTTAAATCAGAAAATACATACAGCCCCCTTGAACTCTCAGAGTTCTGCTTCATAACAGCTTCCTGACCCACTCAGTTTCTTGTATTACAGGTAGTGACGCATAAGCATAGATGTGATGTTTTGGATGAGGGATTACGGATATAGGCCTGTAGATACGAAATAATGTAGTAAGGCTTATATTGTATTGTTTATGCTTTTGATCTGTATCGAACATGACATCCCAAGTCTTTTAATGAAATACATTTCCTTGAAAATGTTTTTGATAAATCTTTATCATATTTTGTTTTGGGACAAATTCCGCAACACTTTTATTTAAAATGTTACTCTGATTTTCAAACAAAGCATAAACAAAATCGGTCTTTTCTGGCCGTGAAAATGGGGATGTTACAAAGCAGTCCACATATCTTTGCATTTTCTGCAAGTGGGTCGTGATCAACTCTTCATCCTTCACTTTGGTAGTGATCATCGAGGCGATGATCTCGTACCTCTCCTGCCTAGCACTATGATGGTAGCTTTCCATCAAATCTTGGTGCATCTCGAATAGATAGTATTCCTCGTAGGACTTTTGGAGTTCGGCAGTCATTGTTGCGAGCATGATGTAATGAGCCTTCGTAGAATCTCTCTAATGAGTTTCGTACGCAACAATTTCCTCGAGAGTAGCAATGTTGTGGTCAATCTCCTTCAGCTCCTTGTCGAGAACATACTCTTTATCCTCGTAACGGGTCACCATATGAATGTTGCGGATCCAATCGTTAAAGTTGGACCATCAAATATCACCCTCCCACACAAGTTCATGAGTGAGAATGAGCCAGAATGGGTTGAGCCAAAATCGTTTGTTGTTTGGAGTGGACATCTGAAAAGAGAAAAGAGACAAAGTTTAGATTAGATAAAAATGTTGGATTAGTGTCTAAGTTCATAACTATTTTGGTATGTACTTGACCCGATGGTGCATCGTCCTTTTGGGTTGCCTTCACCAAAGCAACTTGATTGGAGAAATAAATAAAGAGAGAGAGGTTATTATGATTTATTAATATGTTATAAGAATAATATATTAAAGGAGAAATCATATTTGCTTAATTAATATTGGTCAATAATTAATTAAGAATTAATTTTGTGATCAACTGTAATTAATTAAACTAGAGGGGCTGAATTGTAATTATGTGATAGTTACAAAATATGGTAATGGTTATCCTAATATATGGGTTGAACGAATTAAAGGAGATAAGGATCCTTGAAATCGTCCAAAGGATAAAGGATAAGGGTTTTCAAGGCTTATCTTATGGTTGCTTTGTGGATAAGCAACTAGATAAGGATAATGACTGAAACCCTATCTCTACACCTATATAAAGACCCTAAGGCCTTAGAATTCGTGTACTTGTTCCCAAGGAGTCCTAAGGACGAATTCTAACCTCTCTCCTCTCTCTTTATACCTTCTCCATTTGCTCTTGGTGTTTGTAAGCCATTAGAGGAGTGACACTTGTGACTCTAAGCATTCCAAAGTCAATTCAAGGAGATTGGATTGTTATTGCTACATAACAATCAAGGTGACTTAAACCTATTCTATGTTAATATGATTATATGCTAGAATTAGGGTTTATAGTCTTGGATTCAAAGCATGTACAATAGAGAAACCTAGATCCAAGCATTAGGGTTTGTATGAGCACATAGGATGTCTTATGACCAAAACCCATCAGTGGTATCAGAGCCATTGGTTTGGTTTCAATTGTATGAACTTGATATATTAGGGTTTATTGCCAATAAACCCTAGGAGGCTAGGGTTTTTTGAGATTAGGGTTTGCAAACCCTAATTTGCAAGAGTTTGAATAAGATCTTCAAATCCTTTCCTTAAACCCTTAAATTTCGAAATCTAGGGTTTGTTATAATCCCTTGATTTTCGAAATTTGCCTCCTCCCCAAGATAAGATCCTAATTTTTAGGGATTTGGATTATCCCATATCTTGTAATTATCCTTTAATTGTTATATATGGTAATTCAAGATCTTGCATTATCCATCCATATTTTCGAAATCTATATAGATATTTAAGGGATTAGGATAACTTAAATGTATAAATGGTAATTATCCTCATTATTTAGATAATCCCTTATGATTTAATAATTAAATTAATAGTCTAATTCAAGATAATTATTAAATCAAGAGTTTTAATATTTAAAATTTTAATTTAAATGTCATAAATTCGAAATTTTAAGATAGATTAAAACTAAATTGTTTTGAAATGTTTCAAAACTTGCCCTCAAGTTTTGGAATTTAAAAGTTGATTAAAAAGGTTTAATTAGGAGTGTTAAATTCTAAAACCCTAGTATTGTTTTGAAAAGTTCAAATCACACCCTTATGGTTTTATTAATTAATTAAGGTGTATAATTAAAAGAGATTTAATAAATCCATAAAAGTTTTGGTTTGCAATTTAATTGAATTAAAGGTATAATTATTAAATTTGACCACATAGTATTTTAAAAGTATGAAATGCACCCTATATTATATAATAACATTAAAAGTCTAACATTATATATATGTATGAGTAAAAGTCAGTCTTACCGTTAGTAGGCCTCATTCACGAAGCTGGTCTATAAGGGGTGTTTAAGGAAATTGCCTATAAAATGGCGATTGAATGGGTATCCACTCTTACCCACCGCACTCTTGACTAGTGGAGGGTCGTTAGCCGAACGGGTAGGATAGGACGAAACCTTCCATTATAAGTATAATGAAATACAAAGTAACTAAATGTTTTTCTAATTCCCAATCTTAGTTACTTAGGCAAAAGTGAATTGATGCAATTCCATGAAATTACACTTTGTGCCCTTGCGAAGACGTTAGTGGAGCGTGTGTGGTTTACCGGCACACTAAATGGTTCTAAGCAAAGGTTGCAAAGGGTGACTCAATGTTTGTCATAGTTCGGTGGAGCGTGTGTGGTTTACCGGCACATCGAATGGGTGATTGTAACATGTGAGGGCACCATGTAAGTTTGCATGGTTATTCACACCCGCTTTGTGATCCTCGGCATCCCAGTCACAAACAAGAGGGGCATATCGAGATTTAAACATGCCATTGAAAGTTCAATGAATCTCAAAGGATCTAGGAGTTTTCATAGATTTAAAACTTAAATTTCTTTTTCGTTTTTCATGGTGGAAATTAGTGAATCGTCATTCACTTACCTTCAAATATTCTGCAACTAGATTACGGCATCCCTTTTCTAGGTTGTATATTGTGTTGGGTCCTAACCTTAGTATCTCATTTGGGTGATTTACTAAGGACTCAATCGATCAACTAACTTGAATTTGTTTTCTCCCGTTTTGTAGATGTCAAAGTTCGACAATCATGGTCTTCCCAAATCCCGTGGAACAAGCATTCCACATGAAGATGATATTCCACGATTCGATCGAGGAACAAGAAATCATGCTTCACTTCCTCCTCCTCCTCCAATTGTTCTCCCTAACCCACAAGATCAAAGAATTGAAAGGTTCAATATCACTAAGGCCCTATTGGAAATGAAACATGAAGATGGTAAATCCGTGTGTGCCCACATTCTAGGAATGAAATCACACATCGATAGATTGATTATGTTGGGTGTGTCATTCCCGAATGAGTTGGCTGTAAATTGGGTTTTGCAGTCACTTCCTGAATCATATAATGAGTTCAAAAGAAAGTATTATATGATGGATCATGACGACAACCTCATTGACCTAACCTACATGCTCATTGCTGCTGAATCAGAAATGATTTGGCGAAGCAATGGAGCGTATTGTTGGGAGAGTCAACCGACCATGCTTCCGAGGACGTTCTAGGAGAACCGACCTGCGTTTGCTGCCAAGAGAAAGGGCGTTGGATAGAAGTCTGCCCCAAGAGCCTGAAAATTCCAAAGATGGGAGAGTCAAAGAGTATGACTGCGCTTCAGGTAAAATCCACTATCTAACTTCGTTAAGTTCCTATTCATTGATTCAAATACATGATGTGATAAGATTGCATTTGAATGTTTTGCAGGATCGGTGAAAAGAAAGGAAGCTTGATAAGAGAGCAAGATGAATCTAATCACAAGAGATGGATCTCGATCGCATGGACTTGAAGATTGGATTTTGAGCTTAGATAGTTATGATAGAGTTGTTAGAAATTTTCCTTTTACATAGTTTTCAATAGATTTTGCATTGTAAGGACAAATGTTTTTCCGCTGCTTTTATAAATAAGATAAATTTTGTTTGACTTATTTATTTATTTGTTTACTTCCTTGCAATGAAATCGTTATGAAAATTGATGTTTGCATATTTCTACAACGAATGGATATGATTCTTAGTTATGTTATTTATGGAAATGTCGAGAATTTACCAAATAGGGAGAGTTTCTCATCGCCCAAAGTTTCAATTGGACTGAAATTTGGAATCACGCAACTTGGTTGCATGGTGAATGAGAAATTTCATATTTGGAAATTAGACAAATTCGTTGACAAAGTGTCAAGTGAAGGACTAGGAGATCGAGTACACAAAGTTGTGTGTTGATCAAGTTCACCATAAGAGTAACAAAGATATTTGTCATGATTTACTAATGGCTTAGTAAATATGATTACACTTACAAGATTAAGTGTAATTCTGAATTGATTAAAGGGTTTAGATCAATAGTAGAACGAACAAGAAGAATCAAGTAGGCAGAAAGATAAAAGTTTCTCCATTCTAAGAAGAAGGGAGAGTAGCTTTTATGCTTTATAATGGGTCTTAATGATTAAGAACCATGTCTCAATTGATCCTCTAAGTAAGTCTTAGTACAATTGTATGTTTAAGAAGAGGAATCAAGGATTGAAGAAATGGTTAAATCAAGAAGTCTATCATACTTCGTTCCAATAACAAGTCTTAAAGTTAAGATTTGGCAATGAGTGAAAAGTATTAAAGGTTTATAACATTCATAAAATGTGGAAAGTTGTGATGTCTTGAATAAGACAAAGACCAACTTGGACCAATTTATGAAGTGTTTTGATAAAAGCTACACTAACTCTTGAATATTTGGTTGTCAACAAATGTTTATTGACAAGAGAATCTTATATGTCAAGGAG